ATGGTTACTATTGCTTTTTCTTTGAAATAGAAGAAGCCGGCCGCGGGTGGAGGGGGAGGAGGGGGGGTTGTGAAAAAGGGTGTCTCGGTGGATGCGAGTGCGGCGGAGAAGACGGGGGATAAGAGAAAGCGGACGGAAGAAGAAGATTAAATTACATCCGTAAAGTGAAACAATAACTTTCAAATAACTGCGCCTCCCACCAACGCGACACCAACAACCCCTTCCACCCTCCACCACGGAACCCCATTTCCAAACCTATTGAACAACAAGAAGATTTCGGCCTTGTCCTGAAACTAAGAGAAAGGCAATTTGGCAGACAACTGGAGCGTCAAAGTCGCAACGAAGCCAACGAACCTGTCGAATCAGAAGCCGAGCCTCCAACCGAATCAAAAGACCCCATTCCCACCACCCCACCACACTACCAGAGTCGAATTCCTCTCAAAACCACATCCACTTGGATCGACTGGGAATCCCAAATCAACCCCACCCCACCCACCAACTCCACTCCACCCGCCACCAACATCCTCAAAAACGACCACCTCGAAAACTTCATCCTCACCTCCCACCGCCCACAAAACTACGTGCGCGATTCCCACCCAGCGACGCAGTTCTTGGAGTACCCCAAGCTCGTAGCTCAGCTTTTTGCTTCTTTTTATTACAAACTCCTTTTTTTTCTTTCCTTCCTCTTCGTAATAAAAAATAAAAAGCCCTGGATTGAACGTTACAAATAGCCAAACCAATTGAAGCCCCGCCAATAATAGTTTTCATTTTATCGTGACAAATGAATTCAAGGGGTTATAGCTCAGTGGTAGAGCGCTTGGTTCGCATCCATGAGGCCGAGGGTTCAATCCCCTCTGACTCCATACAATTTTTGTGCGTGTCGGGTTGCAGGCGGTGGGTGGGTAGCATCCAGGAAGGTTTCTCTTTTCCATCCACCGTATGGCCGAGTTGGAATTTTCTTTGGCGCCCTCATCCCATCACAAGGAACGGTGTGGGAAGGTGGCGGAGCGGGAAAACGTAGGCAGATACAGTCGCAGACCAGATGCACGATCACGTCGCGCGCGGGAGGTCAAAAGCAGTCCCAGTCAAAATCCTCTCTGTCCCCCTTGACCCCCCAGACACCCACCCACCGCCTGCAAGTATAATTGTCGAAATTAATGAGAACACCCCCCCCCTTTCACACTTTAGGAAGAATGTATTAGCGATTCAAAAATTTCTCAAAAAAAACATAGGTAATCTTTTATTTCATTTCGTTTTCATTCAAAAAATTAAAGTGTAAAGAGAGGATACGATAAGTTTGTGTCAAAATACACAAACCTCCATGCCGTACGTAACAAGACCTCGACCACCTCCAAATGCGCTTCCCATCACCTGTCTCTTCTTTACGAAAACCCAGGACAAAAGAAACGGAAAGAGGAAGGAAGCGAGTGTGTACCCGATGGTTTTCCAGGCCATTTCGCGGAAGATGTCGTCGACAACGAATAGCTGACATTTGTGACAAGATCGCCCCCGGGGCCTAGTATTTCGGTGGTATTTCGGTGCCTTTGGATTCTGAGAGGGTGTTTAGGAGGCAGAATAGGCCGATGGAGAGGAGGAAGAGTTGACGGGTGGCAAGAATATATAAACTTCGATTCAAAAACGGGTAAGTCAATGAACCAGTTGATGGATTGGTAGAATGGTTTCCCAACAACAAGATCCAAATCTGCGGAAACGGCGGGGACGTTGTATAACTTCGCGAGGTGAATGAGGCCGAGACCCTCCCTGTCATATCAGAAAAAATCCGCGCCCTTTTCGAGGATCCCCGCAGAGGGTTTGTCGTCTCCATTTCCGGATATGAGTTCTTCAGTGAGGCCGCGGGTGGAGCCTTGGTAGAATTGAAACATGGTTTCGAGAATAGTAAGGTGGGATGTGTCGTGCGAGTGGGTTGATTTGCGGTTGGGAACAAATGCCTTGTAGGGAAGTAGTAACGGATGCGAGGGATTCCCAGGGGAGGGAATCTGGTTGGGGTGAGTGGGATTCGCGGGGTGAGCGCGATGGGGATTTGGATTTTGGCGGATTTTTTGTTTTTCGTGAAAAATGACAGCACAGGTTGTGACACCGGGCGAGCGGCTGGGATTGGCGGGAGAGTTCTTTGGTGAGTGGTTTCATTGGGAGGAGAGAGTCGCTGACTTGTGAGGTGAATAGCATCCACGGGAACCTGCGAGATTGGCGACCATATATTTGCAACGGTCGTTGGAAACACCACTGTCTCCAAGAGTGCGGATGGAGATGTAATCCATGATCCTTGCTTCCTCCACCACTGCATCCACTCACTCCTGAAACCGCACACAGCTCGACATCATCCAAGTCATCCCGACCTCCAAAAAGAATACAAAAGCGTCCATCCCAGACGTATCCGCCATCGTGACAGGAAAAGTGCTGCGTGTGAATCAGCGGCAAGCCACCCTGGCGATTATGGTTGTTGGAGACGCACCCACGACGGATAATTTCCAGGGAATCATTCGCGTGCAGGATGTGAGGGCGACGGAGAGGGACGAGATTCAGATTTATAATTGTTTTAGGCCGGGTGATATTGTGAGGTATGGGGGGTGTTGGTGTTGGATGAGGAAGGAGTGGATTCGCGAATGCTAATTTTGTTGTGTACGCGAACTTCCATCGACAGGGCTGAAGTTATTTCCCTTGGTGATGCGCGATCATACTACCTGTCGACAGCAAAGAACGAATTGGGAGTGATTCTGGCCACGAGTGTTGCAGGTGCGTTTTTCTCATATCTGACGGAATATTCGCGATCCTAACAGTTACTCGAACAGGACATACGATGGTCCCAATCTCGTGGGAGCAGATGGTTTGTCCAGTGACCAAGGTATGAGTTGTATTCTTGCATCCTTGTGTTTCCAGTGCTAAACTCTTTCAATTAGGCAGTTGAGAATCGCAAATGCGCAAAACCCGTGGCGATTGGAGAAACAGCACAGCAATAAAATGAATATTCTTTTTCTGATTAATTTACGTACGAAGGGATGTGGGTACATTTTTGAATCGAGGGAAGCGGTTACCGAAAAAGTCCGAAATTCCCAAGCGCAGCACACAAAACCTCCCATCCCCCACCACAGGACCAACAGTGAGGCCTTTTTCGTAGTGTGCCTATGTCTTCAATGCACTATTGACTCGCTTCACACCAAGCTTCTCGATCCAGACAACCCGCAGCACATTAATACCATTTGCCAAGGTACTGTTTGAGTTGTCAAGGTGGCGGCGCAAGGACGGAGCAAGCGACAGCAGTGCAGATTCGCGCGGCACTTCGTTTCCTCTCATGCGCTTGCAATTTGAGAAATTAATTAAGGGGGATCAACCATAAATTTTTTTTTATAAACATGAGAGGTGGATACCAACTCTTTACCACACCGCCCCCCTATCTTCCTCTCCTCCTCTATGAGCGAAACCGCAGAAGTTCAGAAAAGAGGGAGAGGTTGAAGACAGGGAGGGAAAACGCAAACAATGAAATTGAGCCGCCCAGAAGGCTGCACTCCCGTACCGAATCCCCAC